AACTCAGCTGTGTGTAGAAATCCATTACAGATAGTACAGTTATCTGTTCTGTGGACCCTCAACATGTCAGCAACAAGAAGGTAGGTTCATTTGGTTGTGCTTCATTGTGGTTCTGTAAGAACCACCAGCTGCCAAACAAGAACTGTTGTTTTGGAGAAAAAAATGGGACAGGGCTTCATTTTCACTCTGTTATGGTCCTTCTGCACTGCTCACTCTATTCAAAAGGGTTGTAAGGGCAGGGAGTTGGTAAATGATTATCTTGGATGTAGGGAAATTCCTAAGTGTCCTGAAACTTCCAGTCCACAGCCCTTTCATTCCTGTGCTGGATCCATGGCTAAGAAGTAGCCATTTTTTTCCAGAAATAATCTTGTTCAGGTTGCTGGCATGGCTCAGGGAAATGGCTGTGAGCAGACTGATGCTTAGAATAGCCTTCAGCTTTCTCCAGCTTTTTTTCCTCTGGAGATTCATCTGTTCTCAAGGTGAAGTCTAGAGAAGGAATTCATGGGAAAACATTGTGAAAATAATCTGCTCTTCTGCTAGCTCTGTGCTAGTGCCAGGTTTATCTTCAATAGGCAGCCGGTAGGCCTATTTTGTATATAGACAGCTTTGACCTGTTTTACATGATTCTCAGAGTTTTTGTTTTAAGGGGAGATGTGTCTCCAAATAGTTTATTATTAAAACTTAATGATTATTTTTAATGATTTGAATTTTGTTGAAAACTTTAACACTGTAACAGCACTTGGAAAAGTTTGTTTTTTCCAAACAGCTGGAACAATGTCTGTTTTTTCAAGGTTTGTTGAAACTCTTCCCAAGTAGTTCAAATAGCGCTATTTAATGTACCCCAGTAGAAGCTGTTCTGTCCTGAAGATTTAAAAATGTTCACTGTTAACAGTTACTGTGTAGCGAATTCCTTCTGGTATTTTGGTACTCAACAATTTGGCTTGGAGAAGCTTAACTTTGAAGAAAATATTGGATGAAAGATCAAGCTTTTATTTTTCAGCATCTACTTTGCTTTAGTGACTGGTTTTGCAATAGGCAGTAAATACTCATTTGTAGATTTGCTCATCAGACTTCCACCTTTCCCACAGTATAATTTGATTTTTTTCTTCTTTAATTCCCCATTCCTTTTAATCTTATTCCTAAAAGCAAATCTCTTAACACTTTGTGAACTTCTAGTCCTTGTACCCTTACACATCTGATGCATTTCGTGAAAGACAGCACTTAAGGGTTTGGGGGCATTTCAAAGAACACATTTAATATAATGCAACAATATCATATTTTCAGCTTTGATCATGTTTTTGATGGGTGTGATTAAGGTATATACAAGTAATTTATTAACACAAATATGACAGTGTAAACATGTAATTCCAGGATAATAGGCTCTTTTTATACTATATTAACTGTAAAGAAGCTTCTCTTCTATTTGAACATCACTGCTTGCTTGTTCTCATGCCAGCCTGGAACAAACAAAACCAAAGCCTGGTATCTTCAGACAGATGCTGAGCCAAAACCTGTACAATATTGTGTCTCTTTAGGTTTGATTCTTTGAATTCTCATTTATTACACTTATGTGTTCTGGAGTTAGTGATGTATTTATCTACTTGTCTTGCCTTCCTTTTTAGACATTTAATAGAAATTGGTACTTGTACAATGGAGTTCACCTGATTATTTTAGAAGACCACTTTTTAAATGTCTTCTCCTTCAAATGTAGGTATTGTAACGTACCGTATGAAAAGCACTTGCTTCTCCCCATTGTCTATTCAGCAAATGTAAATAATAAGACAGACAATAGAGCCTGTGTTTGACCAGGTGAATCCTACCTGTGGTGCCTGGAGTAACAGTTCAAGTTGGAAGCAACTTAGCAAATGACAGCGTTTGTCAAGAGAAGTGTCTTTAGGTACTAGGAAGAGTATCTTAATTGCAGTGCAGACCAGTTTTTCATGACACTCCACCCTGTAGCTCCAGGCGAGTTTCAATGTGTGGCACACCCTGCCTCAGCATAGCGTAAAACACTTTGACACATTCCATCATCAGAGTCTGCATTAGAAGTATTATTCCTGTGCACTTCTGCAAGAGTTTTGTATCCTACATTCCTGTCAGTACTTTCCTGAGAATGCAGATTCTTCCGGCTTAGATAGAAGCAAAGAATGTATCCTCCTAATACCATGGCATGATCTTCCACCTCCCTCTTTTTAATATTCAGTATAATTCTTGTTCACTTGCTGTGAGCGATGAAACAGACTTTTGCTTCCTTCCTAGTTCCAGGAGTTGCTGAATCACAGTTTCTTTCAGGTCCTCATCCAAAGCCTGTTGAGAGTAATTAAAAGATTTTTCCATCAACAAAATGAGCTTTGTTGCAGGCCTTGAGATCAGTGATGCATAAGACAACTGGCTAAGCTTATGAAAAGATAGAATATTGTGCTGGAAGAGACAATGGTGATCTTCTAGTTCAAATTTCCATATAACATAGCTCTTCGGATTTCCTCAAATTTGCCTCATTTCATGGAAAAGTGCTTTGTTTGCACCAAAATGTGGTTGAGTGCCTGCTGAATCTGGCTGAACCCATTCTGACCAGCCAAATTCACTGTCTGATGCTAAAAGCAGGGCAGGGCACTGACCATTCAAGTTCTTGCTGATGTATTTTTGTAGAGTTTTTTTGCCAGTATTCTAAGTACCATAATGCTTTTGTTTCTGCATATACAAAAAGTACGGTTTTCTTAATGTGATATTAGAGAAAAGCAGACTTTGCTGTGCACTTGTTTATTTCCAGCCTCTCTTTGCACAGTTAGTAGTATTTAGTAGATGCCAGATCCTTCTTGATTTATTAAGGCAGAAGTTGCTTTCTAGTCCCATTCAGGAATCATTCTGGTTTTCTGTACTTCAACGTGTTCTTATTTGGAGTACTCCTAGGCTCAAAGGTGTAATTTCAGCTCATACTGATGCATATATTCAGGTTAGATTTAAACTAGATAGCACAGGAACAGACTGCAGTGTAATTGTTTGCTGCCTGAGAATGTAGCTAGAGCGGTAGATGGGTTTTGCAGCCTTACAGGCTCTGTCAGAGAATGTGGAAGATTAGCAAAATCAGATTACTGGTGAACAAGGAAGGTGTCAAAATTGAAATTTCCCTTGTGGTAACATATCAGAGATCAGTGTAAAACTTGAGTCTGGTAATGCTTGCTTAACTCCAGAAGGTGACAATGAACAGAGGAGGATTTTTCAGCTGGCTTTCCTGTTGGGCATGCTGAGCACAATGACTACCTGTTTCACCACCCAAATTGTGTCTCCAGAGTATCCACTTCACTGGCTTGGAGCAGTCAAAAATTATTAAATCCTTTCATTCTATGTTATATGCTTTCAAAATTATTTCTAATATGCACAAGTTTGGTCCAAAACAAATTTCCCTCACACGGTGATCTCAATAAGTTGCTGTGCAGTCCTCTGCTTCCAGTTCTGTGCACAAATTGGTCTCTCAGGTGTTTGTCAGAGCCAGGCATTTAAAACCTACTTAACCCTGAGACATTGCCAAATGGCTGCTTCTGGGACACTGCAAATGATGTGTGCCTGGGCTAAGGTATTCTGTTCAGCTGAAGACAGATATCCTTGCAGTTTAATAAGATTAAGATCATTGCTTTAATCGGCCTGTTCTGGATGGACTTTTTCAGCTGAGGTTATTTTGTATCCCAGAAGCTGGTGGGTCTGCAAAAGCTTTTTAAATTTGGGCGTTCCTCTTGTTTATATTTGAGCAATTTAGCACATGCTGAAGTGCTGCTTGTTTTCGTTTGAGTTAGCTGTCTGAGCTAGATCAGACTAATTAATGACATGTAAGAGCATAACGAGATCCTACTGTACGCAGCCATAAATGTTACTGAGCAGATTAACAGAGTGCAATATGTTTAAGAAATGGAGCTTGAACGTTGCTTTGGGATGGGATCAAACACTTCATTTCTGTTTATCTGTTTCTTATCAGTGTTAATTCTACTCAGGCCAGGTGAAATTGTAATATTAATTACTAAATTGTAACATTAATTCCTTTCTGCTGCAGGATTTTTGTTGGCATTTCTGTAGAAGAAAAGATCAATACGTACACAAATATCTTTTAAATAATAAGCCTGTGGGAGAAAAGAAAAAAGAAAGATACAGGTCCACAAACACTATTGCGTACTGGGCAGAATCTGTGACATTTGCAAGCACTTTTGCTAACGGGCTTTCAGGATACATCCATACTAATGAATCAAACGGTGCCAACAAATGTTCTTGGGACTGCAAGTTCATTGTCTCTGCCCTCGAGCTGTCCTTGGCATGGTTATGTCCTGGCCAGAGAGTGCTCTCCTTCAGATTTTCTGGTGCGGTGTGAGGGTCAGTGTGGTCCAAGGGCCGTACCCAGCAGGAGGGCTGCAGGTGGCTGTGCTGTTTTGGAGGCTGAGAGAGCTAACCAGTGTGACAGGCATGGTTGAGCAACGCTGGCTTCAGCTACAGTGACTGTAGAAATGTGAACTACCAGAAGCCTGAGCACCAAGCCCAGCATGCTTGGGCTGCAGTGCTCTTGTTAGCATGTAGTCCTACTGTCTCCAATGGAATGTCAGGGAGTGCTCTTCCCTGCATCATTTCCACAAGCAGTAAGTGAAGGGTTTGCACACAGCAGCAAGCCTTTCTCATGGCATGTACCTCTGCAAGTGAGGAGCTGCCAGGGGCGACCTTTGTGGCCCCAGTTGCTCTGAGACCAAGCTCCCTGCTCCAGCCATTGCAGAGATGTATTCTGGAATCACCGGTGGTGTGAAGGTGTATGAAATCATATTTAAAAGATGTAAAAGGTGCTGCAGCTGTCTGGGATCCTGTGAGGGTGTGCAGTGTTTATGTACGTGTGTTGTTTGTGTCTGTTTTTCGTAAGAATAGAGCAGTGTGTGGGGGGAGGGGGGAGAGGGTTCCCTTCTGGGCTCCAGCTGTGCCTGCACAGCGCAGGACACACCAGCTTGGCACTTCTGACTTCAGGAACTTCACAGTGCATTGTGCGGGAAGGGAAGGGTTCAAATGAATCAAAGCATCGTTAGCTGTGCCTATCCCACACGGCTACAAGCAGCACTCAGGCTGCCAACGCTCCAAAAAGCGTCGGGTTAGGTCCACAAGAACACGCCGACATGACCTTATTTTGCGGGCACCGAGGCCAACCCGCCCAGAGCGTCGTTACCAATCGCTTCACGTTCGGGAGCTGCGGGGATCGCAGCCTCTGAGCCACCGCCGCCTCGCTCGGACGCGACCGGAGCTCGGCACATAGCGGCGGCCCTGCGGGCTGCCCTCAGCCGCCCGCCTGCCCCCGCCTCTCCCCCGTGCCGGCCTCGGGAACGCCCCGCAGGGCACTCGGGCGGCAGCCGTCGCGGCGTGACTCACGGCGGGGCCTCTCCTTCCCCGCCCGGGACGGCCCGGCGCAGCGCAGCGGACGCGTAGCGCGCAGAGAGCCATGGCGCGGAGCCGCGCCGCTGTTCGCCTTCTCCTCCTCCTCTTCCTCCTGTGCGGCTCCGCCGCGGCTGGGTACGTGGGGCCGGGATGGGCGGCGGGGCTGCCCGGGGAGCATCGCCCCCCACCCGAGGTCTGCGAGAGAACAGCTCGGAGCGCGTCCCGTTGGCTGAACGAGTGCCGCTGTCTGGGCTAACGCATCTCTCCTGCTCTCTCTTTTCCAGACCTACGTTCCTGGTGGTGGCTCCCTGGAATATCAGGCCCGGAGCCAGCGTCACCGTCGGGGTGGCCCTTCTGCCCGGCAGCCCCGCGCAGGTCGCCGTGCGGGGAGCGCTGCTCAGGGACAACCAGACCGTGCTCAGCAGGGAGCTGGTCTTCGAGAGAGGTAGGGGCCTTACACCTGCCTTCTCCCACGGTATTCTGTTTCTCTGACAGCGCCGCAGCTGCTGGAGACTACTGAAATACAAACCAATTGGGGGCTGCTATGTGTTGTGGCTCTGTAACCAGGCTGGGTAACGAGTGATTTTTTTACTCTCTGTAAACTCAGAAAGCAATCGGATGTCAGTGAGGTGTTATATGATGTGGCATCTTCAAGATGCCTGGAAGTGCTCAGGTCATTGTCATGGGGTCACCAAAGAAGAGATTTTTGTTGGTAGGCTTATATCAAAGGTGCAAAGTGTGAGGATAGCAAGTGTGGAACAAACGGTTGATAAAGTATCTATGCCTGGCAGCTGCAAATACCCTGAGAAAGGGAGGGCTTGACTTCTAAGAAAGTGAAGATCTTCATCATAGAATCACAGAATATCCAGATTTGGAATGGATCCGCAAGGATCACTGAATCCAACCCCTGGCTTCACACAGGGCCACCCAAAATTCAAACCCTATGTCTGAGAACACTGTCCAAATGCTCCTACAAAAACTCTAGCATCTCAGGGCCGTGCCTACTGCTCTGGGAGCCTGTTACATGCCTGCTGCCCTCTGAGAAAAAGAACCTTTTCCTGATCTCCAACCTGACCCACCCCAAGTGCTGCCACACAGAAGCTCAGCGTGTTTGTGGAAAGAGTCAAAAACTGAATGGTGGGACAGCTTGGGGACTGACTAAGTCAACTCTGAAGCAACCTGGTTTAATTTGTGTCTCTGAGGAATGATAGGGGACCTTGTGACATGTATGAGTATTTGGAGAATTGACATCCTGGTAAATGCTCCTGGTAAATGCCAGCTGTGAGCAGGAACATAGCAATGTGCTCCCTGAGAACTGCCCTCATGGGAAGGAAGATCAGCCAGCTTTCAGAGTGCCCTTTGAGTGTTATTTATATCACTTTATACTAACTCTGGCTTTTTGTTTGTCTAAAATAGAGTCACAGGCCAGCACAAGGCCCTAGAAAAATCTACCCTGCTGTAATGAATTTTCTCCTTGTTGCTAACTATCATTAATATGGACGACTTAATTGTAAACATCATACCTTTATTTCAAAGAGAGACTGCTTCTCTTTATAATCCATATAGAAAATAGGCTGTGAGTGTGACAGAGTGCTTTTGATTGGATCAAAGATGTCATGCCCACATGATGCAGAAAAATGTATCTTATCAGAACCCTTTTTGCCACTTCAACTTTTCTATAAAAACAAATGTTTTGTGGAGTTACGTACTCTCAGGTCTTAATTTGGCTTGGATGTTGTTTATCCATTCTAATTTTATGGTGGTGTCAGGTATGTCCTCCGGCATCCAATATAAAAGTATGCAGCTGAAACAATGTTCCCGTTGTGCTGTGTCTAATTAAAATAAATAAATAAATAAATAAAAAATAAAAATTCCCAATTCAAACCAAATTTATACAACTAAACTGTTAGTCCTGGAATCTAATACTAATAGCTGTGATGTATGCTTGAGGCTATTACTTTAGGTGGACCAATTTGCTAGCACCTAGTCTGCATGGAAGTAAAACAGGCTGCCAGTCGTGTTTAATGTACTTAATTCATCATAGTATACTGTATCCTATACTTAGCTGTTGTTTAGTGAAAAGTACCATTCAAGTCTATTAGGCTTGACATAAAGGAGCAGTGAGTAAAGGAACAGTCAGACTGAGGAAAAAGAATGGTGTAGTGCATTACTTGAAGTGAAATTCCTACTAAGCATGACGTATATGTAAATACAAACAAACAAAAAAAAACAAACAACTCTGTGGCCATCCATTCTTTAAAGTGAAGTAATACAATTTTAGTCATTCTTTTTTCTCTGAGCAAATATGTAAGCCAAGAATAAGAAACTGCCTTATAACAGAGGCTGTGATGTTAGGGGTGTTTCCTCAGATGCTGCAGGAATAGAATTACTCAGAGGGAAAAGTTTGTCAGATGAAAACTTTAAAGCTTTACCTTGTTTTCTGGAGGATAAAATGTCTTTGAGGTAAGACACGTAGCAATGGTGCTGTAGCTGTGCTGGTCTGAGAATTTAGCTGAATCAAATCCTGTGGAGGTTTTATTAGGCCAGCTGCTGCAGCTGAAGAAAAAAATCCAAACATCTCCAGACGCACAAAATCTTCTTTAAATGACATCACCGGTGCATATATTAGTGGCCAGAAAATACTGCTTTATCTGTCATTTGTGCCCATTAGGTTACACAGTGGTGCTACTGTTCCTGCGGTGCACATGAGTTTGGTGTTACTCCCCCATGTCTGTGCTAAATAAGTATGAAGGAAGCAGGGTGTACCTGCGGTTGTTGACTGTGCTAGATACCTAAAAGCTGGGACTGATTCCCTGCCTTGGGCAGGGCACAACATTCATGTAGCCTAAGCTGGCAGCATTGTGCTCCGTGTGGTGTTAGCGAGAGTGGGAGGGTTATTGCCTTGAAATACTGATCTGAGAGAATCAATTTTATTTTGCTGAATTTAGGCAGACAAGCTCTCTGATTTGGTGTGCAAACATCTGTGCTGGTAGAACTGAGATGGTGCAGAGCTGCCGTTAGAGGCTAAGGCTGGAGGACAGGCTGTGCACAACTTTTTGTGAGTTTAATCTTGCAGACAGAGCTCAGCTGATTATGTAAAGGCAAGACGTTTTGTGTCCCTATCTGATAAAATGCATCTGCAGTTGCTTGAAGTTAAGGATGTGCTTTAGTCCTCTAGCAGGAGCTCAGCATGGTAACGTGATTGTCTTTGGATTTTTTAGTCAACTCTATCTGTTGGATTAGAGGCACTGCTATTCTCTCTTCATATAACATAACTCCAGCTTTATATAAGAAATGGAGCACTTGCCCTCTAATGGTTGATTGAACATTCACTGGTTTAATGTTATTACAGGAAGTGGAGTTTTGATTTCTGAGTGATTTGTGGAAAACTGACCACTAGAGAAAGACGGTAGGAGTGGATCTTGTTTCACATCTCTTGCCTGCTTTTCATGTAACAATGGGGATGGAAATTAGCAGTTGTAATATATTCAGAATATTACACAATCATGAATTATGTTCATTAACAAGTGGCAAGTTTATAAACGTTGGAGTGAGAGTGTGTGCGCACGTCCATTTAAACAAGCCCTGATGCTTTGAGCTTGGCTCAATGTAGCAGAATCCAGATGTATTGTAGCAAGGGAGATTGTTTGAAGGTCAGTGTTTTGGTACAGAAGTTACTCAGTTTAATTGTAATGAAAACAAACCCACTGAATGTCTGCAAGCAGTGTATTGCTGCTACAGATTAACTTTGTATGAGCAAATGCAACAAAAATTGTCAGTGTGTCACTAGGAGAGAATATGTTTCCATCATCTGCAGGAGGCTCAAGGAGAACACAAAAGCAGTAATTCAAGCTGATTCTGCGTACCATACCGAGCCTTGACACATTTTCTATGGAGTCGCAGTATCAGAAAGATCCTCACTGATTGAAAATGACTGCAGAAGAAAACAATGGCTTACATGCAGTCTGAGCTGTTGGGTTTTCTGGGTCAACAAATAAAAATGATGAGAATAACAGAAAAGCAAGTTAAATTTTATGCATGAATGGCTTGATTTTTCAGTGATTACCGAGAAGGGTGGTTCACACCATGCATATTAATCCTCTGATTGATCAATAAAGATATAGTTTGAATTGGCAAGTATTGTTGTCTTGCCAGGTTTGCTACTTAGATATTGCAGTGTTAGTTACACCTTAATTGAGAGAGCTTCTGAACACTCTGTTTTTTTTTTATTTGTGGAGAAATACTTTGGAAAATATAAATAGCAGAGAAGTTGAGAGAACTAATTAAAGAAAGGCTTTCATGTATAATGGAGTGGCATCATTTACATGACTTCATGAACAATTTTTATTCTCAAGAGTAAGATCTGGTTATAGCTGGTAATTAAGACACAATGCAATGCATTTAAGGCACGGTGAGTGAGAAGTACTTTTGAGAACTGAAGAATCTGGTTCAAAATACTTCAGGTTCCTTGTCATTTGCTTGTAAACGTTAATTACTTTGCACTGCTTTTCTGCATTTCTTCTAGTGTGCACTTAACATACTTGTTGGCAGAGGGAACTCTGAATTAGAACATGGTAAAAACTCAGCCAGGGTTTATGAAACATTACAGACTTTGTGAGAATGTCTGTCAGGTATAGACTTGCAGCAATCGTCCATATAGACAATGGAAAATCTGCTTTTACCAGGAGGCACGTTTTGCATACTTAATAATATGGTTCTGACCACGTTAGTATGTGAAACCGAAGAACACTAGGGAGTGTAAGTTGTAAAGTAACAGCTAAATGAGAATGAACAGCCTTGGTCCCTTTTGTTAACCTTGCCTCTGTGCCCTATTTCTGAATATTTATGGCTGATTCCTTGGTGTCTGCAACATATATCCTGAAAATATGAGACTGGAGTGTAAATCATTTTGCTAACAGTTTGCTGGGACAGCTCCTTTCTTCCTAACTATGTGTGAAAGCCTAAAAAGTGAAGCAGTAATAGAGCAGTAGCACCATGTTTTCATATGTGTAACCTCCAAATGTATGGGTAATTTGTTTTTCATGAAGAACAATTACACATAAGTTATCAATATTTGGCACGTACAGATAACTGATGCAAAACCAGATAAGGGAAGGTTTGGTGGAAGGAGATGATGGGGCTGAATCCAGAGGCAAGGGAACTAGCTAGCTGAGAAGAGGCAGACTTACAGACTTCTCTATTGTTGGAGCACATCTAATTAAAGAACACAAGTTTCTGTGGCTGTTGTTGAACCCATTTGACATTTCTTCTCGGAGAGAGTGGTGATGTGTTGGAGCAGGCTGCCCAGGGAGATAGAGTCACTGTCCTTAAAATTGTTCAAGAAATGTGGAGATGAGGCACTGAGGGACATGAACTAGTGGGCACGATGGTGATGAGCTGGCATTTGGACTTGATGACCTTAGAGGTCTTTTCCAACTGTAATGA